GCTGTTCTTGCTATCATTATTATTACCATACATTTTATTAGACGTAGTCCATGCAGATAAAAAGAGTGCTCTAGAAACAAAGGAGAGGCTTTCCTGGAGGACTTAGTGCCTTAGCTCAGTCTTGAAAGGCAAAGTTGAAGTTAACAACAAAAGAGGATAGTGCTACTAGGCACATGGGAGACAGAGGACATTCCAGAAAGGGAGCAAGGTAGGTAAGGGCCCAAAGAAGACAGAGAGTGAGCCTGGTATGGTCAAGAAATGTAAGCTATTTTGTATGCTAGATACACTGCAGGGTGCCAGGGAGCCTGACTGTGGAGAAGCTTTGATTAGGGAAAACTGGATTATATTTTATCCTGAAAAGGGAGTTTGTTAAGAGACCATCACTGGACTGGCAGGTGGCATGGAGGTTAAGGCACTAGACTCCCACTTGGCTGACCAAGTTTTGAGTCCTGGACCTGGCAGCTTGTTTTCTCTGTCAGTGGTCAAATTGGTTAGTAGTGGGACCAGCAGTTAGCGTAATGGCTATGTCATTGAACTCCCATGTAGCTAGCTGCAGTTTGAGTCCCGGACCCAGTGGCTAAAACTCGTGCCGGGCGCATGTGCGTGTGTGCACAAGATCCCGAGAGGAGAATGGAAGAGAAGGGATTGTGGTGTGGCCATTCCCCCCGGGGGGGTGATTTCTGCGCTCGCCAGACAGAAAGAGAGAGACATAGAGACAGAAAGCGAGAAATCACCCCCCAGGGGGGATGGTCATACCACAATCCCTTCTCTTCCATTCTCCTCTCGGGATCTTGGGCACGCACGCACACGCGCCCGGCATGGGTTTTAAGCCACCGGGTCCGGGACGCGAACCTCAGTCGACTACGTGGGAGTCCAGCGACATAGCCATTACGCTAACTGCTGGTTCCCATAATTATTTTTTTTGAGAGAGAAATTTTTGCTAGTTTGTGGAGGGTTTTTTTGGGGTTTTGTTTGTTTGTTTTTTTTTTAGGCTTTTGTTATAGGGCGCGTGAGCTAGCCAGAAAGACAAAGAAAGAGAGACAGTGAGAAATCACCCCCCAGGGGGATGGCTACGCCACAGTCCCTTCCTCTCCATTCTCCTCTCGGGATCTTGGGCACACATGCACACGTGCCCAGCGTGAGTTTTAAGCCACCGGGTCCAGGACTCGAACTGCGATTGACTACATGGGAGTTCAGTGACATAGCCATTATGCCAACTGCTGGTCCAAAATTAAGTAATAATTGTTAAAAAAGAGAGAGAGAGACTGTTGCCAGTGGAGGAACAGATGCTGTTTGCATTTAGAAAGATCACAGCTTGAAAGGTGGAGACGGAATTGTATAAGTGGCAGATACGGAGGCAGGAAGCCCAGTTTGGAGGCCAATACAGTAATCCATGTGAGAAATGTTGAGGCTCTGGACTTAAGTACTGACAGTGAGGACCAAGTAATTACACAGATTTTTTTTTTTCTAATATTTTTTTTTTTTTTTGGGGAGATTTTCACTGTAGGGCGCGTGCGCTCGCC